AAGTTCTGGGCAGCTGCCTGCCGTCTAAGTCTTCCAAGCGATAGGTGCCGTCTCTTACTTCCTCATAGATTCGGTAGGGGCCTTCCCAATTTGGGGTTAGCTTTCCCTGTTCATTCGCCCTACCGACTGCCTCTATTTTCCGTAGCACAAAGTCCCCCACTTTGAGAGGACGCTTGTGTACTCTTTTGTTGTAAGCCCGAGTCATTCTCAGACGGTATATCTCATGGCGCAAGGTAGTATTGCCCCTGCGCTCTGGTAGTGAGTCCAATGCTAGGCGCATGGCCTCCCAGTTTGCCTCTTCATCATATAACATGATTCGAAGAGTCGGCTCATAGTGCTCAATGGGCAGAACATCTTCTGCTCCATACACCATAAGGAATGGGGTTTCTCCAGTTGCCCTTTTAGCAGTCGTTCTGATGGACAAGAGGACGTGTGGTAATTCATCCGCCCAAAGGCCACCAGCCCGCTCAATTTTCTTTTTAATCCCGTCTGAGATTAACTTGTTGAAGGCTTCGACCTGGCCGTTTGCTTGCGGTCGGCCGACTGATGCAAAGAAACTTGAGACCCCCTGGTCTCCCAGCCAAGTCTTGAGTTGAGGCGTCTCAAATTGAGGACCATTGTCAAAAACCATAGACATGGGCACCCCGAAACGAGAGATTATATTCCTCCAGATGAAGGAAATGATGTCTTTAGTCTTGATGTTTTTGACTGCCTCCGCCTCTACCCACTTGGTAAAGTAATCCACAGCCACCAATATATAGCGCTTGCCGTCTGGTGCAGTCGTATATGGCCCAAGAATGTCCATGCCCCATTTGGCAAAGGGTATTGGGCTGTGGATGGCCGTCAGTTCTGTAGCCGGACGATGGATGAGCTTGCCAAACTTTTGGCACTTGTCACATTTTTTCACCATTTCCATGGCATCCGACTCCAGAGTTGGCCAGAAGTAAAGCCGCCTGGCCTTGGCCGCGAGGGATCTTCCGCCTATATGGGAGGCGCAGAATCCCGAATGCAACTCTTCGAGGACTTCCTTACCCTTTTCAGGGGTAACACACTTCAACAGGGGTTTCAAAAAGCCAGCCCTGAAGAGTTCTCGTTGTCGCAACTCGAAGTTAGCTGCTCGCTTTTTCAGAAGAGCCGCCTCCTGTGGTGAGTCAGGGAGCGTGCCGTCTGCAAGATAGGCCCGGATGTTGTCCATCCAGGTTCAGCTTCGGTCAAAAATTCCAATGGGGTCTTCCTCAGATATACGTCTTTTTTCCATGACCTCCCAGAAAATTGACCGAGGCATTTCACAGGAGGCGGATGATGCCAGCTTGGACAGAGCATCCGCCTGATTGTTTGAAGACCTGGGCACTTGAGTTAGATAAAACTCTTCAAGTGACAAAACTTCACTCTTTACCGCCTGAAAATATTTTATCATGGCCGGATGAGTGGCCTCGTACGTTCCATTAACTTGGAGTATGACCAGTTGAGAATCAGAGCAGGCGGATATCTTCTTTTCCCATGCCGCCTTGCAGTACCGGATGCCGGCCAGCAGGGCCTCATACTCAGCCTCATTGTTAGAGACCTGAAACTTTAACCGTAGTGCGTATTCGTACTTATCTCCTTCAGGAGACTGACAGATAATCCCTGCACCACAGCCGTTCACAGTGGAGCTCCCATCCACAAACGCTTTCCAAACCTGGTCTGTATTGTCCGGAACAACTGGCCTTGTCATTTCGACAATAAAGTCAGCGAATGCTTGTCCCTTTATTGCCTTCCTTGGTTCGTAAGTGATTTCTAGTCCTTGCATTTCAATCACCCATTTGAGCATTCGTCCAGAAGACTCCAAGGTTGTGAGTGGGTGCTTGATCGGCTGGTCAGTATAGACCACTACCGCATGTGCCAAGAAGTAGGGTTTCAATTTCTTGATGGCCATGTAAAGGGCGAGACCAAAATTTTCAACCATGGGGTACCGAAGCTCAGCGTTCTTGAGAACATGGTTGATGAAATAGACCGGGAGCTGAGTGCCATCTCTTTTAGCTAGGAGAACAACGCCGAGGGCATGATCGGAGACGACCAAGTACATGAAGAGCGTCTCTTTGGGCAGAGGGCTAACAAGCCTCGGCAAAGAGTGCAAATGAGTCTTTAACTTTTGAAAGGCCGCCTCTGCGTCATTCCCCCATTCAAAGTTTGTCTTCTTTTTGATTGCCTGGAAAAAGTAGAGGCACTTGTCGCCTAACCGATTGAGGAATCTCCCCAGGGCCGCCAGACAACCTGTTAGTTTTTGCACTTCCTTCACAGTACGGGGCGACTGCATGTCGATCACCGCCTGTATTTTCTCAGGGTTGGCCTCTATTCCCCTTTGGTCAATCAAAAATCCGAGAAACTTCCCAGACTCAACACCAAAGACACACTTTTTTGGGTTAAGCATGACCTTGTGCCGCCTGAGTGTGGCGAATGTTTCTCGGAGATCAGCAAGGTGATCCGCCTGTTGTTTGGATTTGACTATCATGTCATCAATGTACGCCTCTACATTCCTTCCGATTTGATTAATGAAGACCGTATTAATCATTCGTTGGAAGGTAGTAGGCGCATTCTTCAAACCAAATGGCATCACCGTATAACAGAACAACCCCTGATCAGTGACGAATGCCGTCTTTTCTTGATCTTTTTTCCACAGGGGGATCTGATGGAAACCTGAATAGGCGACCATGAAACTCATCAGGGCATGTCCGGCTGTTGATTCGACCAGACTATCGATCTTAGGCAATGGATAGCTATCCTTTGGACATGCCTTGTTGAGGTCTGTGTAGTCAACACACATCCGCCAAGTTCCATTCGGCTTTTTTACTAACACAACGTTAGCTACCCACTCAAGCGTCCACGAAATTGCACGGCCGAATGAACTTGGCATCTAACAGCTTTTTTACTTCGCCAGCTGCCGCCTGACTTCTTTCTTTGCCGTGGTTTCTTTTCTTTTGCCGGATGGGCTTCTTTTTAGGATCCACGACAAGTTTGTGGACAGCGAGATCCGGGCTGATGCCTGGCATCTCTTCCACTTCAAAGGCAAAGATGTCTTTGAATTCCCTCAGCAGCTGGTGAAGGCTTTCACCCAGCTTTGTAAAAGCAATCGTCCCCACCTTAACAGTCCGCTCTGGACGGCTGTCGTCCTGAGGGATATCAATGTGTTCACCAGCAGGCTGGGGACGAAGATCATCCGACCGTTCCTCGGTCAATGATTGCTATTGCTTTTTTTTTTTTTTACCACCACCAGTTGATCAGTCTTTCTTTTCTTTCCGGCTGGTGGGGCCGACTGATCTTCCTCGACATCGTCGAGGTTGATTGTTTGCTTGCCCCAACCAGATGCTACGGCCGCGAGCTTGACGTCCGAGAGGTAACACTCTCGAGCCGTCATTTGGTCCCCATTAAGGGAACTGACTGTTCCATCATCCTTCTCATACTTGAGTAGCATGAGAGCAGGGATGATGACGGCCTTACACTCATTAAGAGTGGGACGGCCAAAGATGAGGTTGTAAGCCGTGAGCTCCTCAACCACTAGGAAACGGATGGTCATGTGCCGACCGTCTCCCCTGCTTCCCAGGCAAACAGGTAGGTCAATTCATCCGACTGGGTGCACAAGTCCTCCCCCAAACCCAAATAGGGTGTGGGTGACCTCCATCATGCTATCCGGTTTGTACTTGAGATTGGATAAGCATTTGAGGCTGATGAGGTCAGAGGAGCTTCCTGTGTCAATCAGAATTCGGCCCACCAGCTGGTTGGCGACCTTGCACTCAATGACAACAGGGTCATCATGCGGCCGACGGACTTTCCCTCTGTCCTGCTCGGTGATGACAACTTTAGGGAAGGTGGATGCGCTTGATGCATCCCCCTCCTCAACAGAATTGACCATCTTTCTCAGATGGTCCTTGGTACCCCGAATGGTCGGGCCACCACCGGCAAATCCGCCTGCTATGGTGTACACCGACTCTTCATCAGTTTCGGCACTCACAGCAGGCTGGGGAGTCTTTTTCTTAGACTACCCCAGATTTGCTTTTGAAGTCACTTTGGACTTCACATAGGACTTCAGCTGTCCTTTGTCGGACAGACGATCGAGCTTTCGCTTGAGACTAAAACAGTCATTCATGTCATGGCCAACATCCTCATGGAAACGGCAATGCTTGTTCTTGATCCGATTTTCAGCGGAACCTTTCATAGGAGTCGACTTTTCAAGAGTTAGCCGATCCTTAATTTCCAAGAGGATGGAGCAGCAGTCCTTGTGGAATTCATACCTTGGGACATACGGTTTCCACTCCTTTTTCTTCTTCTGGGCCGATTGATCAGAGTTATCAATGGCCCATACTTGCTTTTTCTTTTTGCTCTCTTCTGGCTTAGGAGCCGGCTGAGCAGGCCGACTCTCTTTCTGCCGGTCGGACTTCTTATGGTCCGACTACTTATTGGAGGAGCAGAGTTAGGTCGCCTGTATATAGGCTTCCGCCTCTCGCAAGGCTCCTTGCAGAGTAAAGATTTGTTAGCGGACGAGTTCGTACTTAAAAGTAGACTCGTCCTTCAGACCCTTGAAGAAGTCTGTGAAGGCGACCTCATCAGACAGCCCATGAATCTGGATTCGGACCAGATTGAACCGCCTGACGTAGGAACGCAAACCTTCTCTATCTCCCTGCTGTACATTGCCCAAGTCAAGACTTGTCTTTTTGGCAGGGATGTTCATAGAGAAGTTTGATGCAAACAAGAACGCAAGCGTCTTGAAGTTATTTATGCATCCAGCCGGCAGGTTGCCAAACCACTGCTGGGCTATGCCCTTCAGGGTGGCTGGAAAGCAACGACACCATGCGGCATCATCCAACCCCTATAAATACATGAGGTGGGTGTATGCTAGCAGGTGGTCTTCTAGGTTGGAGGTCCCGTCATAGGCTCCAACTAGAACGTTTTCAACTTTAGCCGGCTGTAAAGCTTCAGTTATTTCCCTGGAGAAAGAAGAGGGTTGATCTCCAAGGTGTTGCAGCCTAAATTGCCAGTCCATCGGTTGAGCCGTGTACCGCCTGTCCTCCATAGAGGGTAGGTTGCATGTAAGGTACAACTGGCGCCTGGTACAATGGTTGTGCCATGTACTGGGCGGACTGAATCACGTGCAGCCCAGACTGAACCCTTTGGCTGCTTGCTGGGGTCTCATGTACAGACTGTGAACACCGCACAGAGGTATTCCGAAAGCTGTCATGATAAGTCGACGTTGAAGCCGACTCTGATTGCTGGGTTCTCCTCTCCTCAATGTATTGCCGAGCGTCAGAGAACGTTTTCTTGCTACCATCCGGCTGTATGTGCAGGATGGGTTTTCTTGCGCCCGTTTTTGGGAAACGGAGCCGATTAAGGTCAAATTGGGGCCTGGCCTTCTCCTTAGGAGCAGGATGAGGAGTCGGCTGACGGTCCCTGACCGACTTCTGTTTGCCAGCTTGGGCTGGCTTCTTGGCTGACTGCTCCTTTCTGGGAGTAGGCGACTTCTTTGAGGCGAGCTGCTTGATTTCACCTCTAAGGCTGCTCAGGAGTGACATTAGCTCATCCCGAGTGACGGGAGTTGATCCTGCTGCCTGGGAAGGATCAACCGGCCGCCCCGAGGGCTTCTTTGGCTGACCAGCAATTTTGCTTGGCCCTTCCTGGTCATGGTGGCGCTCCCTCCTCTCCTTATTGCGGATGCGCTTAGAGATGAGGGATCCATTTGGATCCACATATGTTTCGACGTTAGCGTCGTCCCCTAAGTCATGGTCCGTTTGGACAAGTATATCATCTGGAGGCCGAATGGCCTCTGGATTTGGTACAGGTTCTTGTGAAGCCATTTCAGAGGTACTCTCCCCACAAATGGCGCCAAATGTTTCGGGGGTTTTTGTCCCTTGGGAGAGTTACAACACTGAGGATGCCTGTACCTGCAAAGCAAACGGACCGCCAGATGGTCGGGGGTCCGCCTCCGAAGATTAAGTTAGTAAATGTTCGGTAATAAAACTTGCGGAAATAAAGTTATCTGCTCGGATTCCAAGCTCAGATGATAAGTGACGTATTGTCTCGTATTGCGTGTAAAATTCTCTCTCTGTCTCTGTCTCGTCATAAATGACAGAATGTCCCTATTTATAGGGTCTTTTTGAAAAGTGTGCCCTCCTAGGATCTGGTGACCTAGGAATTAGGTCACGCCGTTTTGCGGCGCCTCGGGATTTGGGCCTTAGAAGGCCGCCATCCCAGGGCCAATGCCTGAGTGACACGTGTCACTGTGCCCAAAAGGATTCTGAAGCACCTTTTGAGTGACACGTGTCGCCACCTGAATGGTCCCTGCTGGACCTTCAGTCCACGTATGACGGAGAAGAGTCCACCCTCCACGTGTCATCATTCCATAGGTCCAAATGGCACCTATATGGAGGACACGTGGCGCTTTCTGATTGGGCCACCTGGCCGGGTATAAAATACCCAAATCAAGTACCTTTCACGTTGAATCATAATCGAATGAAACGAAAGTGTGGAAAGGTCTAGTGTTGCGGAAAGTTTTATTTCTTTTCTCTTCTCCCTGTTTTGGAAAACTTTATTTTAAGAAAACAGCTAATCCAGTTTGGTTGGTCCATGATATGGGTCCAATAGTGGTGTAGTTGGATGGGGCTTGCAAAGACCTTTCCAACGATATATTATAAGCCCAATTTCGATGAATATTGAGGAAGTTATGGCCAATTTACTAAATTGGGTCTGGTTTGGGCTTTATGTAGGGCCTAATATAATTTGTCATTCCTAATGCAATTAGGAATGGTTTTAGTCTTCTAGAACATCCTAGAAGGTTCTTTTCATTCCTAACTCAATTAGGACTTTTCAGAGTTTTAATCAAGATCAAATAGCATTTTCGAAGAAATTATATTATTTTATCTTCTAGTACGGTAAACTTATCAGATTTTCGAAAACGCATTGGAATTAAGATTGGCGTTCAACCCCAGGCCTTGGCGTCTGGAACCAGGCTTGGTGCCAGACGCTAGCCATTGGCGACTGGCGCTAACCACTAGTGCCTAGCGCCAATTAGCCAGGGTTAGCGCCAACGCTTTTTTGTGATCTTCAGACTATGTTTTGTTAAATTATCTTTTTTGGCTGATTTTTTTATAAATATCGTACTAAAAACTCCGTTTTCATCATCATCTACAATCATCATTCACCAATTATCATCAATTACCATTCATCAACTCTCTTCATTCACCAATTGCCAATACTCATCATCTTTCATTCATCAATTTTCATATAACATTAATTCTTTATTATTCAATTCTTTCTTGCTTTTTAATACAAAATTCCGCATTCACAAGATCTAGAAACACCTAGCCATATTCGAAGTTGCCTTCGCCCTAGACGTGAAAGGTTTAATTTATGAGGGTTTGGTCCCAAATCTCTCTTTCAATTATTTAATTTAATTGCTTTGTTTGATTATTATTTTCCTTGAAGTTACTAACGTGTGTATTTTGCTATTAGAAAGAGGTACGAGGCATCCAAGTAAGTGCTTTGTTGATTTATTGATATTATGATGTAGAAATCATGCTTAGATTGTTATTTTAATTCCTAGTATCATGTCTAGGGTAACTTTAATATTAAGTATGATTAAAAGTACGATGCTTCCTATTCTCTTCCTAATATTAATTCATGTTAGTATCATGTTAGGGTTAAAGCTTTGATTTTTATTGCTTAGTGACATGCTAGGGTTTATTATTAATCTTGTTAGTATCATGCCTCGGATCTTGCTATTTCTATTATGCTTTAATATTAACATGAACATGATTATGATTATGATTATTATAATTATTATTATTATTGATTATGTTGCTTGATACATTATTTATTCTTTATTGCTTGATCACGCCTTTTATTGCATGTTAAAGGGAATTTGTACTTGCAATCACGCTTAATAAGATAATTAATAATCTTGTTAGGGTTAATTGTGATTATAATTCAAGTGATCGCCAATAATAGTTTATTTGTGCATTAAATTCAACCAACATAGATTATATAGGTTTAGGGTTAATCCTATTGATTGTATGTTAGTCAGAAAGCGCACATGAATACAAGCAGAATAAAGTAGAGGCCTATTATTAGGGCAGGTTCAATCTCTTTTAGGTTGGATTTGTACCATCATCCCCGGAGCCTTATTTGGTTCATGACCTTATGGAGTTGACGATCTCTTGGATCGTTAAGGGGTGTAACCTTCACCTCGTGAATGGTTTACAACCCTTTTGGACGCCATCGTACTTTAGTGTATGATCACAGTGGGGTTCAAGCTAGTGGGATTTTAAAGGCTTGAAATTATTCCCTACAGTTTTTGGCGACTCCACTGGGGAGGATTTCTATTTTAATTCCTGAATTTGTTTCGGCAATGATCTAGAATGAGTGGATGAGACTCGAAAAGTTCTAAGTATTTCATGTGCGTAATTTTGATTAACATTATTGTCATATGCATAAAAAGGTTCTCATTGGAAAGACTATCCGTAATGAGTAAAAAACATAGGATTTTACACGTAGGAAATTTGAGAAATTTCTTCCATAACTAGGACTGAAATAACACCGCGCGAAACTGGATGATTTTATTAAGCACATAAAGCTGCTGAGGTATGTGGGAAGTAGGGTCAGGGGCCAGAGCTTGGAGCCAACATTTTAGTCGTAGCGCCAGACGCTAGTATTGGTGCCAGGCGCTACAGCTAAAAGTTGGCGCCAGTCTCTTTTTGCTGGCGCCAATTTCCCCCAATACCGAGCCAGAAATATGCGCTCTAATTTCAACCAGTTTTTCATATTGTTTGCTCGATCCTACTTCCTGATTGAATTTTTTCTCACTTTTCTGAAACCCATATGTGTTCTACATATGGACATAACCTTCTGGGAATTCATGCTCTATCTACCCGATTGAACGCTCCTGGAAACGAAGGGTACATCTGAGATGTTGAATTTACCAAACCATGGAAGTGAGTTTCTTCTAAAAACTCGCGGTGTCCCATCCACACGCGCTAACCCTTCACGGTTAGGCTTCTGCGCGGTGCATCCGGACAATTAACCATGGACCCTATTTGACTAAACCATATCCCGAACTTTAGAGAACTAGAGCCATGGTTAGGTTGCGAACTCATTGCATCATATTGTGCCTACTTGACTAATTGTGCATTATTTGTTGTGCATATATATTATATGTTTCTCTTAACCGTTTGTTGATTTGTGTTGAGACTAAAATGAATGACTTAAAGAACTTTGCCTAATTAATTAATTAATTTAAGTCAATAATTTTTTTTTTAATTGGAATTGAACTAGTACGACTTTAGGCATACCCCAGTTGACTAATAATACCGAAAACAGTCCCAGACTGAAGCTCCAATATTGGCGCCAAAGTCTTAGCTGTAGCGCCACATTGTAGTGTGTAGCGCCAGACATTTTCTAAATTGTCTGGCGCCAACCACCATAGTGTGACGCCAGTTCTATCTCTTGGCCGACAGTTCGGATTATTGGTCGAGTCATCACCTAGGGTCTAATTAACCAGTTTGCGAATTAATTCGGTTAATTTCCGCTGTCAATAACACCTTGTCGAGTTATTAATCGAGTCTTGGTCACATAGTCTAGCCACATGGTCATGACACGAGTCTTAACGCACCATCTATACTCACTAGTCTTAGCACCCACTTTGAGTACATTACCATGACCATGGCTTAGGTTCATGCATGAGTCGGTCTTTTCCGTCGTTTGAGTTGAGGGTACATTCTAATCCTAATTCTTCATATCCCTCCATCTAAATCTTTTTCACATTCTATTCCAATTTATCTTCACTTCCTCCATCCATTGCATGTTGAATAAAGTTGGAGTCAAATTATTAACAATAAGTATCCCCAAATTCCTTTCCCACAGTACTTGGTCGAGGAGAGAAGGGCGATTAATCAAGGACAACCTCTTTATTCAAGTCTCGCTTTTTTGATAAGCCGATTCGTCAAAAGAGGAAGGCTAAGAAGATAATGGCAACTCAAGAAGAAGTCAATGATCTTAAGAATCAACTGGCTACTGTGACTGAGACACTGAATCTTCTCGCGCTCAAGGTCGATGATCCCGCGAAGCAACAACGAATGAACCTCATGTAAGAGAGTCTAAGCAAGTTATCTAGTGACTATAAATTTCAGGGCATGAGTTCACAAGGGGTCTCGCTGGACAAGGAACTTCTTCCGCATAAGTTCAATGCCACTGACATCCCTAAATTCAAGGCAACAGATAACCCTTACTTCCATCTAAGAGCTTTTGAAACTATAATGAGCATTAAGGGTATCGATAAGAAGGTTTTCCCCTCTCTGTTCCCACTATCTCTCGAAACTGTTTGTCAACAATGGTTCTTTTCTCTCGAGAAAGAAGAAACCTCTTCTTGGGAGTCGATAACAAACGCTTTCATAGATAGATATAAGTGCAACATCCAAGACGAGACAGACCACAGACAACTTGAGATGTTAAAACAAAAGGAAAACGAAGGGTTCACTTCTTTCTTCAATAAATGGAGGGAAACTTCTGCTAATATGGTCAAGGCTCCTACCGAAAAAGAATCTGTGAGGATATTTATCAAGAATCTCCAAGGGAAGTATTCAAAGCATTTAAAGTACCAACACAACTTGAATACTTTCAAAGTTGTCTATAATATAGGCATTGACATTGAAGATGACCTTCTGAAAGATAATAGTGCGAGAGGAAAGAAGATCGACCATCCTTCTTCTTCCTCTAATGAGGTGCATGCTACAAACACCTCTAAACCACGAATCCAAAGATCAAAAAGGGTTTTCACTCCACTTGGTATAAGTTATGAAACGGC